TTTCTTAATTCCACATCTGAGTGAAATCATGTCGTATTTGTCTTTCTCTGACTGATTTATTTCCTTAGCATTATACTCTCTAGCTCCATCCATGTCACTGCAGATGACAAGATTTTATTCTTTTTTATGGCTGAATAATATTCCCCCTCCCCCTCTGTGTGTGTGTGTGTGTGTGTGTGTGTGTGTGTGTGTCCTCTTCTTTATCCACTTATCTATCAATGGACACTTGGGCTCTTTCCATAATTTTTCTATTGTAAATAATGCTGTTCTAAACATAGGAGTGTCTGTATCCCTTTGAATAACTGTTTTTGTATTTTTTGAGTCGATACCCAGTTGTGCTATTACTGGGTCTTAGGGGAGTTCTATTTTTAAATTTTTAAGGAAACTCCATACTCTTTTTCACAGTGGCTGCACCAGGTTGCATTTCCACCAACAGTGCAAGAGGATTGCTTTTTCTCCACATCTTCATCAACACTTGTTGTTTTTTGTGTTTTTTATTTTAGCCATTCTGACTGATGTGAGGCAATATCTCGTTGTAGTTTTGATTTGCATTTCCCTGATGACAAATTATGTTGAATATTTTTTCATGTGTCAGTTGGCCATCTAGATGTCTTCTTTGGAGAAATGTCTATTCTTGTCATCTATCCATTTTTTTTATTTGTAAATGCTGTTTTTCCTTTTTTAAATATAGTTTATTGTCAAGTTGGCTAACATAGAGTGTGTAAAGTGTGCTCTTGGTTTCAGAGGTAGATTCCCATGGCTCATCGCTTATATACAACACTCAGTGCTCATCCCAAGTGGCCTCCTCAATGCCCAATACCCATTTTCCCCTCCCCCAACCCCCTCCATTTCTTAATTGAACTTTTTTGGGGGGTGTTGAGTTTGATAAATTCTATATATTTTGGATACTAACCCTTTATCAGATGTGTCATTTGTAAATATCTTCTCCCATTCCATAGTTTGCCTGTTAGTTTTGTTGATTGTTTCTTTCACTGTGCAAAAGATATTGGCTTTTAGTTTTCTTTTCATACAGTGCTTTTGTCTGGTTTGGTACCAGGGTAATGTTGTTCTTCTAAAATGAATTTGTAAGTGTTCCCTCTTAATTTTTTGAAAGATTTTAAGAAGAGTGGTGCTAATTCTTCTTTAAATATTTGATTAAATTCACCAGTGAAACCATCTAGTCCTGGGATCTTCTATATTGAGAGGTTTTTTAAAAAAATTTTTTCAAATGTTTTATTTATTTCTGAGAGAGAGAGAGAGAGACAGCATGAGCAGGGAAGGGCCAGAGAGAAAAGGAGATACAGAATCCAAAACAGGCTCCAGGCTCTGAGCCAGCCGTCAGCACAGAGCCCGACGTGGGGCTCGAACCCACAAACCGTGAGATCATGAGCTGAGCCGAAGTCAGGCGCTTAACCGACTGAGCCACCCAGGCGCCCCTATATTGGGAGTTTTATCACTGATTCAATCTCCTTATTTGTTATTGGTCTCTTCAAGGTTTCTATTTCTTTTTTCATTCAATGTTGGTAGGTTGTATGTTTCTGGAAATTTATCAATTTCATCTAGGTTATGACTCAGTAAGCTTATTAAAAATCATTGAGCTGGATTTTATTATATAAAGTTTTATATAAAGTTTGTATTATATAAAGTATATAAAGTTACAAAATAAAAGATTGTACCAGAAACTTTAACCAGCACATTTGTAGATATAAAGAAATAAAGAGTCTAAATATTGAGAGGGTAGAATTCAATTATTATCCACTGGTAATATTATGGCTTACCTACAATACCCAAAACAATATACAAATTATAAGAATAATGAATTTAGTATAGTTATATATTGACTTTGATATAGAAAAGTCAACTATATTTCTATATTGTAGAAAAATCGAATATGAAATCTTATGAAATCTTAATGATTATAAAAATTTTAAATTGCACACAAATATGAAATATCTAGGGAAAGGTTGAATGAAAGATGTGGACTAAAATGTCTTCAAAGAAAATAAGAAGTTAAAAATAACCAAGATGTATATACATGTTCCCAGATTAGAGATTCAATATCTTTAAAATGTCAGTTCTCTGTAAGCTATTTTATATTTTGAATACCATCCTAAATAAAAAATAGTTTTCTTTTTTAATTGTCAAGCAGAATCTGAAATTCAAATGGAAATTCGAGAAGAAAAAAAAGAGCCAATATATCATATTCAATCATTTGATTCATTGAATGGAGAAAGGATGGATTTTTTTTCACCTCCTATATTTGACTAATAACATTATTCTGAATTTCAAGCACTATTTTTTTTATAGTTTATTGTCAAGTTGGTTTCCATGTAACACCCAATGCTTATCTCAAAAAGTGCCCTCCTCCATGCCCAACACCCATTTTCCTCTCTCCCCCTTCCCCATCAACACTCAGTTTGTTCTCAGTATTTAAGAGTCTCTTATGGTTTGTCAGGAACTATTTGAAGATGCTCTTAATAAAAGGTTCAGTTCATCACAGTGCATTCAATTTTTTAAAAATTTAAAAACATTAAAAATGTTTTAATACAAATTATATATTTTAATTTTTAATTTATGTTCTTAACTATTTATTACTTGCTGACTTTAGCAACATCATTTAACCAAGCCTAATTAGGGCTTGGTTTCCAAATCTGTAAAGTGACAAAATGCATTACTCAAGAGACAGAGTATTTTGTATTCAGTAGAGATCCAAGACTTAAAAGAATCTGTGCCCCTCAATAGCATGCAATTTTCATGGAAATGATTTATTGTTTGGAAAATTAGTACTCTCAATTGTAATTTTTACTGGTAAGCAAGACAATAAAAGCAATGATAAAGATCAAGGCAATGTATTATTTTATAATAGTATCTTTTATTTAAATATCCTAAAAATATTTTATGAATTTTATACATAGGAATTACTCCATCTACCTCTGAGATGCAACGTTTGTGTAAACCATTTATCCTGACCTGATCTTTTTACCTCATTTTTGTGTCTGACTGTAGCTATAACTGCTGTACAATAAGTCTTGATTATCTGGGCTGTGGTAAGTGAGCTCTAGGACAAAAAATTAAAAACTGATATACTTAGACTACATAGAAGTTTGTTGTGTTGCAAACTTGATCAACTAGGGAAAGATGGCATTTTTAATAAATTGTAATATCTATTGGATACTCATACAAAATAAAATTAATTTGTTTCTGTACCTTAAAACATACACCAAAAGTGAACCCAGATGGACTTTAGATACACATATTAAAAGCAAAATAAGAATCTTTTAAGATAAAAACTTAGGAAGGGGCGCCTGGGTGGCTCAGTTGGTTAAGCATCCGACTTCGGCTCAGGTCATGATCCCACAGTTCATGGGATCGAGCCCTGCTTCAGGCTCTGATTGAATGCCAGCTCAGAGCCTGGATCCTGTTTCAGATTTTGTATCTCCCTCTCTGTCTGACCCTCCCCTGCTCATGCTCTCTCTCTCTCAGAAATAAATAAAACATTAAAAAAATTTTTTAAAGATAAAAACTTAGGGAATATCATCAAATTCTTTTGGTAGACAAAAAATTCTTATTTTATTTTAATTTTTTACAAATAGTTTATTGTCAAGTTGGTTTCCATATAACACCCAGTGCTCATCCCCACAAGTGCCCTCCTCCATACCCATCTCCCCCTCCCCCCCACATCCATCAGTCCTCAGTTTGTTCTCAGCATTCAAGAGTCTCTCATGGTTTGCCCCTCTCCCTTTCCCCCCACCATTCCCCCCTTCTCCCCCATGGTCCTCAGTTAAGTTCCTCCTAATCCTCCTATACATGTAAACATATGGTATCTGTCCTTCTCTGCCTAACTTATTTCACTCAGCATAACACCTTCAAGTTCTATCCGTGTTGCTACACATGGCCAGATTTCATTCTTTCTCATTGCCATGTAGTATTCCATTTTATAGATAAACCACATCTTCTTGATCCATTTGTCCATTGATGGACACTTAGGCTCTTTCCATGTTTTGGCTATTGTTGAGAGTGCTGCTATGAACATTGGGGTACATGTGCTCCTATGCCTCAGCATTTCTATATCCCTTGTATAAATTCCTAGCAGTGTTATTGCTGGGTCATAGGGGGGTGGTAGACAAAGATTTCTTAAATAGGATATAGATAAAGTTAGCCACATAGGGAAAAGTGTAATACATAGGACTAAGTTAAGACATATAAATTCTGTTCATCAAAAGACCCATAAAGATTATTAATAAAGCAAGCCACATAACAAAGAATATATTCTCAATACATGTTCCCAGCAAATGGCTTATTTTCAGGAATATACATATACATGAAGAAATCATAGAAACCAGAAAGAAAAAACCAGGCTACCCAATAAAACAGCACCAAATGGCTAAGAACAGACCATTTATGAAAAGGATACCCAAATTCCTAGTAAGTGTAGGCAAAGAAGATAAACTACATGAAGTATCAGACAAATGCAAATTCAAACCACAACTCATGACTTCTACCAGCCCATAAGAATGTGTACAGTAGAGAAGATGGACAGTATAAAAGTTGGTGAGTAAGTATATTACAGGGAGGAGTGAAAGCTGAAGCAAGCACTGTGTCTAACTTTTAAAAATATTAATCTGTTAATTAAATGAAGTATACATAAATTTTCTTCCAAAAATTCTATTATGAGGTACATACACAAGTCCTGAACTGGGAGTTACCCAAATGTCAGTCAGAACTGGAATGGACAAATAAATTAAGGAATATAGACACAACTGAAAACGATGAAGTCATGAGAATGAGTTAACTATAACGATACAGAACAAAACATAATGGGATCACAAAAGAGTACATACACTATGCTTTATGTATAAAACAGCCAAAGTGATCAATCATATATGAAATCAGAATAATGGCAATAAAGTAATATGGTTAAACACATGATTTTTTGAAGTCACATATGTCTGAGGTTAAGTCTTGGGGGCAGCTGCTTAGTTGATATCCTTGATTTTTAGTTTGAGTCCCTGTAAATCTGAAAAATATTGACACCTTTATTAGAGAAATGTGCTGAGGAGTAAATAAATATACATTTAAATACTTGATTAATGCCAAATGCAATAGCTCATGTCTTTCAATATAGCAGTTTAACTTCTGGATTTCTCACACATGAAATAAGTAAAATTTAGTGACATGAAAACTCAGATTAACATGTGTTGATATAGGGGCACCTGGGTGGCTCAGTTGGTTAAGCATCTGACTTTGGCACAGGTCATGATCTAGCAATTCATGAATTTGAGCCCCATGTCAGGCTCTGTGCTGACAGCTCAGAGCCTGGAGCCTGCTTCAGATTCTTTGTCTCCTTTTCTCTCTGCCCCACCCTCAAAAATAAACAGGTATTTTAAAAAATTTAAATATGTGTTGATATCAACACCAGGTAGGGTTATTAAAGAAAACAAATTTTAAAACTTCCTAAAGCCCAGAGAAATAGGCACCAAAGTTTCACAAGCTTGCAGAGAGTTTCATCAGGGTATATAGGAGGGCTTGCATTTTCACTGCAGACCATTAATGCACACAAATCAGATAGCACGTAAGGAAAAAGAAGAATCAAGTGAACATAAATATAAGAGTAAACATGAGACCAAGAAAGGAAGGTTAAGAGTTAAAAAGATTCCTTTTTTTAAAATATTTTTATTTATTTCTAGGAGAGAGAGAGAGCGTGAGCAGGGGAGGGTCAGAGAGAGAGGGAGATACAGACTCTGAAACAGTCTCCAGGCTCTGAGCTGGCAGTCAGCACAGAGCCCGACGCGGGGCTAGAACCCACAAACCAAGAGATCATGACCTAAGCGAAAGTCGGACGCTTAACCGACTAAGCCACCCAGGCGCCCCCCCCTTTTTTTTAATGTTTTTTTTTTTTTATTTATTCTGAGAGAGAGAGAGAGAGAGACAGCGTGAGCAGGAGAAGGTCAGAGAAAGAGGGAGACACAGAATCTGAAACAGGCTCCAGGCTCTGAGCTGGCTGTCCGCACAGAGCCCGATGCAGGGCTCGAACCCACGAACCGTGAGATCATGACCTGAGCCGAAGTCGGACACTTAACCAACTAAGCCACCCAGGCGCCCCATGAGTTAAAAAGATTCTTAATAAGAACTGGCCAAACTGCAACTTTTAAAAGAGACATGTTTACAGCCCCCATGAGTACCTGTGACTGTAAGGTTGAACAAATGACACTGAGGGGTGTCCTTGGCTCTAAAGATCTTCTGAAGAGCATGTTTCATGTCTTTATTCTTCAGGCTATAGATGAAGAGGTTCAGCATGGGGGTAACCACCATGTACCTCAATGGGAGCAATTCTGTTGTCTGATGAAGGGAAAAAGTAAATACCAGCAATTGTCCCATAGTATAAAAACACCACAAAGAGGTTAAGAGTCACATGTAGACAAGGCTCTGGAGATTCTCTTAAATTATTCTTCAGAATGATGCCTGCAATGTAGATATATAAGCCCAAGATACCACTCAATGGTAGGATAAAGATCAATCCTCTCTCAATGAGAATAAGCAGCTTATTGCAGGAAATGTCTTAGCAGGAGGATTTCAGCACAACAGCAAGATCACAAAAGAAGTAGGGGATGATAGCTCCTGTACAGTAGTACAGCTGGTCCATGAGGAAGGTGTGCAACAGAGCATGAGTATAAGAGAAAAAACGAGGACCTAGCCACTAGGGTGACACAAAGCTCATCTCTCATGATTGGGAGTATAATGAAGAGGGTGACAGATGGCCACATACCTGTAATATGCCATCACTGTAAGAAGAAAGCTACAATACAACTAAAACTGATGAGGAAATACATTTGTGAAATGCACCAAGCATAGGGGATGGATTCATCCATAATATACATGTTTATCAGCACCTTAGGAATAGTGGCAGATGAAAAGGAGACATCCATGAAGGCTAGTGGCTGAGGAAGAAATACATGGGAATGTATTCAGGAAGTGAGAGTCCAGCCTGATGCACTATGGTCAGGTACATTCCCAGGAACAGGATGAAAAACACACTCTGTTGCTCCAGTCCAATAGGGGAGCCCAAGAGGAAGAACTTGGACATGTGTCTCTGGTTCTCTGCCTTCATACTGCTTTTCTATTTGCTGGGGATGAAGAAGTTTTGGGAATCTCAGAGACCTAGAAAGGACTGTCACATCTCAAAATGTAATTTTCTGGAAAAACAAATGTTTAACCATACTCATTAATCTCTCATACCTGTGGATTCACACATCTTCACTCTGTCCCAGTCTGGCTCCAGGAAAACATCTCACCCGAGAGCAGCTAACAAGACTTCATTGCACAGAAGCAAGAGAGTGTTTGCCGTTTTATTCATCCCTTTGTTCCATTGAACATTGACTCTGTATCAGGACTTCTACTAAGAGCTGAGAATGTAGCCATAAACAAAAAGGCAAAGATCTTGCCCTCCATGAATGTAGATCTTGATGCGTGTAGAGAGATAGTTCATTACACCAAGGCAGAGACAAATCATAATAGTTCACTGTCACAGAAATAGTAGATGACCCTTGGAAAGCTGGTATCAGTTGTTTCTGCTTTAAAGTGATATGAGACTCCAGTGCAGAGGTGGCCATTTGAGGGCATTGTCACTCTCCTTCTGTGAACCTGGCTTCATGATATCAGAGTAGTGATTTCATTCTGATCAGTTGGTTAGGTGGTGTCTTCTAGGTTCTCTACTGTAAAGTTACTATTTTAACCTTTGTAATTAATCTGTATCATTTGGATTTTAAATATATAGTATTTTAAAGCTATATAACCATAACTTCTTTCCCATTAAAATTTCACCCACTATGTTTAACATCCATTGGTGAATCTTATATGAAAAATTATTGCAAGTGTGGTGGCCAAATGGTGATTTTCTAATTCTATCATCTATTCTACCTTTATTTGTTGTACATAAGAAGGAACTTTCCCTTATCATTTGTTTTTTCATTGATTTATATATGTTGTGGACTTACGAATTCTTTTTTATTCTTCGAGTTATGGTCACTGCCTTTTCTATTCGTTTTGAAACTCAAAACTATTCCAGATTTGGCCATTGGGAGATCCTTCACACTGGCTCCTGAGTCTCTGTGATTCATTGAGCACTTCCTTTCAGGCTCAGCAAAATTTTCTTGGATAGTCTTGTCATGTCCTGGCCCCAGTGCTGGAATCAGCCATTTTTCTGATAACTTTGGTCCCTTTTATTTCTTATGTTTATTTTTTAGTTTTTATTTAAATTCCAGCTAGTTAACATACAATGTAATATTAGTTTCAGGTGTACAACATTCAACACTTCTGTACAACATCCCGTGCTCATCACAACAAATGCACTGCTTCATACCCATCACCTGTTTAACCCAATGCCCCATCCACCTCCCCTCTGGTAACCATCAGTTCATTCTCTATAGTTAAGAGTCTGTTTCCTGGTTTGCCCCCTCTTTCTTCCCTCACCTTTGCTCATTTGTTTTGTTTCTTAAATTCTACATATGAGTGAAATCATGTCATATTCATCTTTCTCTGACTGATTTATTTCACTTAGGACAATATTCTCTAGCTCTACCCACATCATTGCCAATGGTAAGATTTCATTCTTTTTATGGCTGAGTAATATTCCATTGTGTGTGTATAAGTGTATGCATATAAATATATACCACATCTTATTTTTTTCCTCAGATCTAGCGTTAGGGTTAGTGTTAGGGCCAGGGTGAGGGTATATGCCTAGTATCCTCAAGTTCAGAGACTTCTACACAGGGTTAACTTTGATTCTTTTTAAAGGAGAAGTGTAGAAAGCACATTTGGCCTTAGGTGTGTTCGTAGCTTACAAAGCTTTTAAACGATCTGAGGATGCAACTAGGAAGTATGTGTAACAGAAACACAGGAAAGAGAAACTACAAACTAATAAACTAAAGGAATGGTTACCCATAGAAAATGGGTCAGGGGAGAGACAGAAAGAATGGAGGACCGGGAATAGTATAGATATTACTATATAACATGTAAATTCAATCTGTTTGTACATATTAAAACCCATGAGTTCAAACTGATATCTCCAATTCCAGTTTGATGCCATAGAATTCATTCGAGACTCTCCTTTTCCATGTACATAGCTCCTTTCCCTGATAGTGAGGAGTCATTCCCTTTTCTACAATATGTTTATTTATTTACTGTATCTTGGAGTGCATGTTAAGTAATTTAGAATCTTCAGTTCATACCACTGTAATGACAAAGTAACTGAAGCTTAAAAACTTTGCCTACAGTTTTTTCTTTACTATGGGTATATGGATAAAATTTCATGTTAAAGAATTACTTAGATTAGGGATCTTATTTTCCCCTTTATTTCTAATTATGGTATTAATTTGAAATATAGCTAGGTTTATTTGTTTTGTCTTATTCAATTTTTGTATTCCCCCATCCTCTTCTATTTATTTTTCACTAGGTAAAAGATAACATAGTCAAAACCATACAAATAAATAGACTCATCTCCCCATCTTTTCTTCCCCATTCTTCCCTAACTTCTGTAGATAAGCAATCTCACTAATTTCTGATTTATTCTTCCTCTGTTTCTTTTTCCTCGAATGGGAAGATACATATATATTTTATTTCCCCTTCATTATTATACAAAAAGTAGTGAACTACAAAAAGGTGTTGAGTTATAGATGTTCAGAGTATGCTTTTATACATTGCTTTTTTTCCACTTAACAACATACCCTGGCAATCCCTCCACACTGGTTCACAGATATCTTTGTCCTTATTTTTTCACAGCTACAAAGTAGTCAATTGTGTTGATGTTCCACAGAGTTCCTTTTGAAGTACTAGAATGAGATGATGGTGATGAATGTGCTAAATGCCATTGAATTGTATACCTCAAGTGGTTAAAATTATAGTTTTATGTTATCTATATTACACTACATTAAAAAATCTTAAAGAGAAAGCAAGAAGTCATCTCTATATAAAGTACAGGAAAAAATTATATGATAATAATAAGTATAGTTAATAAGTTAATAGAGGGGGAATAGAATAACAATATGTATTTATTTTTTAATTTTAGTTCCAGTAGAATTAACATACATTGTTATATTACTTCCAAGTGTACAATATAGTGATTCAACAATTTTATGCATTACTCAGTGCTCATCATGATAAGTGTACTCTTAATCTCTTCACCTGTTTCACCCATCTCCCCAACCCCCTCCCATCTGGTAGCCATCAATTTGTTTTCTATAGCTAAGAGTCTGGTTTTTTGTTTGTCTCCTCTTTTTTGTTTACAAAATATATATTAATCAAAAGGGAGAAAGAGACGAGAGAATAAATATGACACAGATGTCTCAAATAGAAAACATATACTACATCAACTGACGAATGGATCAAGAAGACGTGGTTTATGTATACAGTGGAATACTACATGGCAATGAGAAAGAATGAAATCTGGCCATGTGTAGCAACATGGATGAAACTTGAGGGTGTAATGCTGAGCTAAATAAGTCAGGCAGAGAAGGACAGATACCATATGTTTGCACGTATAGGAGGATTAGGAGGAACTTAATGGAGGACCATGGGGGAGAAGGGGAAAAATAGTGGGGGAGAGGGAGGGAGGCAAACCATGAGAAACTCTTGAATGCTGAGAACAAACTGAGGGTAGATGGGGTGGGGGGAGTGGAAGGGGGTGATGGGCACGGAGGAGGGCACTTGTGGGGATGAACACTGGGTGTTATATGGAAACCAACTTGAAAATAAACTATAAAAAAAGAAAAAACATATTAATATGAAAACTATAAATCCAAATATATAATAATTATATTAGATATTACTAGATCAAATTCTCCAATACAATGATTATTATCTATATAAAAAAAAACCAAAACCTAACTTCACAGTATTAACCAGTACACCTCACAGACATAAGGGCATAAAACAGTTTAAAGTAAAGTTATGGAAAAGAAATACAATGTAAACAGTAACCAAAAGAAAGCTGGTATATCTATACTAATATCAGAAGAAGTAGATGAGATATTAAGGCAAGAGCTGCTGCCAAAGATAAAGATAAATATCTCCTACTTATAAATGCAGTGGTATGCTGTTAAAGGAATAAAAATGGCTCTCTGAGAAATCTTGCTTTGTTGCATTTGCCAATTTCTATTGTGTAACTATTTACACTATTGCTGATTTCAGACTACCAACATGATGTCATTGAATGTGGAGTCAGAAAGAGATGTTCACATTCAGCTTAAAGCCAATGCAAGCCAGCTTCAGCACACCACAAATAAAAGAGTCAGTACACAAGAGCATATCATGATGCTATATCTGCATGTCCTCAATAACATAGTATATAAAATATACAAGCAATGACTGGGCATATCTAAAATGGGAAACAAATCCACAATTATAATTGTGCAATATGTTTTGCATAAGATTTTTCACAATAAGAGATGATGAACAAGCAGGAAAAAAATTAAGGATAAAGAATATTTAACAGTTCAGGTAACTAACTTGACCTAGTTGACAATTGATGACACCATACATGACAGCATAATGTCTATCCTTTTTAAGTTACACAGAGTTGCCAATCATATAATAGTTTTAGTAGACATATTGCACTGTGAATGACTGCAATAATAGGATTTAGTGATGGTCACTTAAAAGTTAGCCCTATAGACAAATATTTGCAGGGCCTGTTTTACATCTTTGTTCCTCAGGCTATAGATAAAGGGGTTCAGCATAGGGGTAACTACTGCATACATGACTGAAGCAATTATGTCTTTGTCACTAAAGTTCCATGATGAGGAGAAAAAGTAAATACCTGCAAGTGTCCCATAGTATAAAGACACCACAAAAAGATGGGAGCCACAGGTAGAAAAGGCTTTAAAGAGTCCTTTAGTGGAGGGTACCTTTAGGACAGTTGTCCCTATACGAATATACGAGCCCAAGATACTACACAAAGGCAGGGTGAAAAGAATTCCTCCTTCAGTAAAGATGACCAGCCTATTGAGAGAGACATCTGAGCAACTCATCTTTAGGAGCACAGTGAGGTCACAAAAGAAGTGAGGGATGGTATTATCATCACAGAAGGGCAGTTGGACCAAGAGGAGGGTGTGCAACAGGGCATGAATACAACAGAAGAACCAGGATCCAGCCACTAATGAGATACACAGCTCCTGCCTCATGACAGTGGAGTAGTGGAGTGGTTGACAGATGGCCAAATACCTGTCATAGGCCATCACTGCAAGAAGGAAATTGTCAAGACAACCAAAAATTATGAAAAAATATACCTGTGAAATGCACCCCACATAGGGAATGGATTGTTGCTGAGTCTGCATATTCATGAGCATCTTTGGAACTGTGACAGATGAAAAGGAGACATCCGTGAGGGCCAAGTGGCTGAGGAAGAAGTACATGGGGGTGTGGAGGCGAGAGTCCAGCCTGATGAGCAGGATGATGAGCAGGTTCCCCAGCACCGTGGTCAGGTACATGCCCAGGAACAGGGCGAAGAACATGCCCTGCTGCTCTGGCCGGATGGGGAGCCCCAGGAGGAGGAACTCCGACACGCTGCTCTGGTTCTCCCTCCTCATGTTGTTTTATCTCTGTTGGCAGTTGGGGCAAGTGGAGAAAGTCAGTGAACATGTCATAACATTATAGTGAGGTTCTTTCTTTGCAAATTCTTTATTTTAGCTACCTTTCTGTTTATTGCTCACAACTGTTGCTACATGGATGTGCCCCATTCTGGCTCCAATGGTACATGAAACCCTCACATTAACCAGGTTTCTTCCCCCTCAAAAAACAAACAGCATTTATTCTTTATTCAACAAAAACTGATTGAACAGCTTAGTCCCATATTGATAATAGTAGTGAAGAAATGGGAAGTCTTTATGTTCAAGAAGTTGACATCTTAACATCAAGGCAAGTTCAAATCTCACTAACTCACTAGGATCAAAATGTGAAATGAGTACCAGGAAAGAAATATCAGTCATTTCCTCTTAAAAATGGTGTGAATCTCCCTAAATTGGAGCAGAATTATTAAAGCTGTGTCACAGGCTTTCAGTGTAATTGGCTGAGTCCTGTTTTAAGTCATTTAAAATTCTCTGTTACCAAAAATTTCCAATCCAAGTTTCCAAACCAACATTAAGAATAGCACCAGGTCGGGGCGCCTGGGTGGCTTAGTCGGTTAAGCGTCCGACTTTCGCTTAGGTCATGATCTCGCGGTTCGTGGGTTCGAGCCCCGCATCGGGCTCTGTGCTGACTGCCAGCTCAGAGCCTGGAGCCTGTTTCAGTCTGTGACTCCCTCTCTCTCTGGCCCTCCACTGCTCACGCTGTCTCTCTCTCTCTCCTAGAAATAAATTTTTAAAAAAATTTATTTAAAAAAAAAAAAAAAAAAGAATAGCACCAGGCACTATTTCATATGTTTTACATGTCCTTTCAAACCAGATCCTCACCATAGTCCTAACAAATGGGTACTATTATAGTCATGTTAACTATGAGACAACAAAAGTGTTGTCACTTTAGTTCAGTGAATAGTCCAGAGAAGCTATTTTGTCAGCTACCTTTTTCCAAAATGTCCTTAACTCCGTCTAAGAAAAATTTACCACTCACATTTATACAACATATAATTTACAAAGGATTTTCACATGCTTTAACTTCTTTGAAAACAGTAAGAACATATTTAGGGACTGTTCAGTGTACAAGGCAAACTTCATGTCCTCATTTTATAGATGGGAAAACTGAAGCTAAAATGATAATTGACTTACCCACCATGACTCGGCTCTTTGATAATGGATTCCAGATTTAATATCTATTTAGAAGTTAGACTAGAGGTTAGGATAACCACATACCCCTGAAGAGGGAATCAAGACTGACATTCTCACTCAAGAGTAGGAGGAGGACAATGAGTCATCCTCAAGGACCACAGTCTTGCTCAGGGGAATCGGTTATCTCTGTTCATGGCTACCAAGGAGGACAGTGACTTGACCCTTATGCAGAGTCCCGGCTGCTCACTGATGGAGGCTGTGTCAGTCCTTACTTAGAAACCAAAAGAAAACAAGAGGTCTGGAACCAACCAGGAACTATGATTCAGTCAGGACCTTGAGAAGGAGGCAGCTGAGCCATTAGCTGTGGGAGGGAGGTCAGACCTCATACCTGGAAGTATGAGAGGGAGCCTTAAGATGAGCCTGTCCTCTCAGAATTCTACCCGTCCTGTTCCAGACAATGGTGAAACAGAAACCTCCATGACACAAACATTGGGTTTGGGGAAAAATAATAAAAATACCTCCTTTTTACTGAGCACCAATTATGCCAGGTATGGGACTGAATAATTTGTGTGCATTGCGTCATTTAATCCTCAAAAATAGCATTGTGAAGTAGAAATAGTTACCTCTCCTTTGCCAGTGAAAAATCGGAGCCTCAGAGAGATGAGGTCACTTCCTAAGATCACGGAATATATGAAGGCCAGACTGAGGACTGGGGCCCAGTCTGCCATACTGCAGACACTGAGCTTGTACCCATTAGTATATGACACCTGCCCAGGAGTGGAAATGCATGTGAACTTGCCCGCTTATTGCAGTAATATATATACGGCTACTGTTGAAATATGGTTAAGGAAATATTTGAGTTCATAGGAAGGAACCAGAGCCCATAAAACATGTACATGAAAAAGAACAACAACACACTCTAGCATATGGAATCACATACATATATAACTTATAAACAAAATGCAATGTCACACATACACACACCACTGAGCTGAAATTTCAAGACATCTTACCTATTGCTGGTCATGAGTAAATTCAGGAAACTTCTCCTCCAGATTGGGGAGCACATCTGCCTCTTTCCAGACTATGCAATGTCATTTAACTAACTATTATATCCAAAGATGGAAGAGGGAGTTATAGAAAGACAGTGGGGCAAATACTTGAGTTCAAAGGGACTGATTAGGAGACAACAGATCACATATACAAATGCCCTACACTTTTTTAATTGGGCAGCTCTTATTAGACTTCTGCGTTCTTGGTCTAAGAGAGGAAAAAAATAAGACTGAGAGTCAATTATGCATGCACACCCACAAACACAAACACGTACACAGAAAACTCAAGAAGAAAACATACATATGTCTGTATTATACAAGCAAGGAAACACACCAGACAGACCCACGTGGAATGCATATGCAAACCTCTAGACACAAGGATACATCTTGCCTGCTTAGGATTCCCAGCTCACTCTGACCTGTGCCTCTCCTTGGCAAGCTCAGGTACCTTCTAATACAATTTCCTGAGTCCTCAGCTTCTCTTGAAGATACCAGGAACAAAAAGTAAGAAGAAAGCCTCTGTGAGTCCATGACCTCATTAGCTCTCTGTCTGTCCTTGAGCTCCAGAGCAACAGGCAGGAGATACCATTTTGCAAACCTTGGAGAACACTCACGAAAATTCTCTAAGCTCCTGGTTAAGTAAGGAATCAAAGCAGACTATTGGCCTCCAATTCCTAAAAGACCTTGGGGAGGAGCCTGTGCAGGTGCTACAGGGATTGAGCTGCTAGAGCCACCTGAGAAACTGACCCAGATCTCAAGGATACTCTGGGCTCCTCTCTGCCTGTTCATAGTTCCAGGGGGAAAGTAGGAATGGCTTAGTTAGCTTCCATCACCAGTATTGCCAGTGCACTGGGTCAGCCTCTCCCGACACCACATTATGGTCCAGGAAGAGTAAGGCAGGTTTCTGCAAACCCCCACACCATTTACACTTGCTACCATGAGCACAAAAATCTAGCTTTAACTTCACATCCTGCAGGTCCCCTCCTCCCTTGGGAGAGACTTCAGGGCATAGACGTGTACCTTTTCTAAGGGAGTGTAGAGTCCTTGAGCTCAGTACTCAGAAGAACTGGGTCTGGGCTATACCACTCATTAAATGTTGGCCCTGATCACATAAAACATCTCCTCAGTCCTGTTACATCAGTTGTAAAGAGTGGATAAAAATTACATTTTCCTCAGAAGTTATTATTGAAATTAAATGAGATGAATTCATGCTAAAGCACATAATAAATACACAACAGATATCATCTCTTGTTATCATTATCTTTGTATCTTCCAAAAAAGATAATGATATCTAGAATCACTGACATTGCCATAGGATTGATATTGAATAAATGAGTGAATTAATGGATTAATTAATTAATTCAATCTTATAGTAACAACATATTCCCACCTTAAGAGATTAAATGAGTTAAAACACAGAATGAACTTAGAACATTGGCATTTTGTAAATCCTCAATAAACTTTGGTTATCTTATAGTTTACAGATTCATTGTGTTCAGCTACTCACACATTGGTTTCATTACCATTTTAGTTACTGATAACTCCATGTTGTTCAAACCAAAATATAGGAATCCTTGACTCCTACCTTTCTCTCACGCTCTTCTCAATTCATCAGCAACTCTTGTTGCTTCCAACTTATAACTAAATATAGTATTCACCAAAATTGTACTACTTCCTCTGTTACCACCCCAGCCTATCATTTCTTAACCACATTGTTGAAGTAGTTCCTAGGTGATCCCCTGCTTTCACATAGCCCCCTTCTCCTTCAGTCTATTCTCAATACAGCAGTCACAGTGATGTTTTTTAAAGCTGAATCTTGTTACCCTTCTGCTGAAAAGCTTCCAAGGACTATGCAAATAATTCATAATAAAAATCAAAAATCAAATCACAATGCCTAAAGAACATAGCCCCTGTTAGCTTTAAAATTTTCCTGCAAATATCCCTGTGACTGTGTTCCTGATGCCTTCAATTCTTTGTTCAAATATCACCTTCTTGGTTAGACCAGTCCTCATCACACCACTTAAAATTGCAGTCTGTCCCCTGCATTCAGATTTCTTCACAATGCTATATTTTATAGCACTTGAAAATCATGAGGCTTACTTACATATTGTGTTTATTTTCATTGTCTCCCCCACTAGAAGATAAGCTCTACGAAAGAAAAATATTTGTTTGATTTCTTCACGTCTAGACATTTACATAAGTATAATAGACCCCTAAAAATACCTCTCAAGAAAAATAAATTATCCAGCCACTGCAACCCACTGACCTTAGAATGAGCAGTGACATCAGCCAAATAGAGTCCCCAGTAGCAAGACTCATCTGCTCAAGGAAGCTACCAACTGACCCATCCATAAATCCAAGCAAAACTGACTGGTGAAGCTCTGTCCCTGCTGAAGCAAATCTTTGAAGTGTAGAAAAAGAGACTGCTTACTAAAATATACAGATACAAATGCAAGGAAAGGAATCATGAAGAATCAGGTAAACATGACACCACAAAAGGAAACTAACAAAGCTCCAATAATTGACCCAAAATAAATTATGTCTACAAACTGCCTGACAAAGAATTTGGAATAATAGTCTTAAAGTTCAATGAACTGCAAGAACACAGGCAGACAACTAAATAAGCTGGGAAAACAATATATGAGGGAAGCTAATTCATCAATACATTAAAAGAACCATACGCTATGATCAAGTGTTTATCCTTGGAATGCAAGAGTAGTCCCACATATGCAAATCCACAAATGTAATACACCACATTCACAGAATAAAAGATAAAAATCATGATTCTCTCAAGAGATGCAGGAAAATCATTTGACAAAATACAACGCTGTTTCATGATAAAAACCTCAATAAATTGTGATTGGAAGAAACATACCTCCAGAAAAAGGGGAGGAGGAGTTAAGAGGGAGGAGGAGTAGGGACACCCTAAGCTTATCTCCTCCCTTGAACACAAGGGAGTTATCAAGTCATTCTGAACACTGACGAAATCAAGCTGTGGTCTGAGAGGACAAAAACTGCAAGACTATAAGAGAAAAGCATTTGGAAGGTAGGAGGAGTGGAGAGCTTACTGGGGGAGATATTGCACGGAGTCCCGCCGCGGAGATGGAGCGTATTGACAGAGGCTACCACAAAGCAGTATAAGCAGCGGAGGGCAAAATCTGAACTTTTAGCGGTCCTCTACCTTGGGGAAAGCACCAGGCTTAAAGGGGCTGAAGAGG